AACGGAACGAACAAGGCACCGACGACGACGATGCGACCTTTTCTTCTTTCGATTATCCGTTGGAACGTATCGTCGGAAGAATAGGTTTAAAGACCGAATTAATCCGCGTTGCGAAAGTGGAATAAATTCAGATTAAATCGCTCTTCGATCGCAGTTTGTTAATACATTCTTTTTACCGTTCTTTACGAGGAAATTAGTCGAAAAAAAATAATAAACATCGCTTAATCTTCCTTCCAAGTCGATTAAGCTACAAATTATCGTGCAAGTGAACGTTTTACTTCAGCTTTATATCGAAGCGTTCTCGCCGAAGAAATTCCAATTTCCTCGACGAAAAGTTCAGCCTGATTTTCCACGCGAAATTTTCGTACTCCGTTTTCAAGCAGTCGCTAAAAGAGGAGCTTTCTTTTGTTACACGCGTTTCTACCATCGTGCGCAGTCGGTCGTAAATATCGTTTGTTTGCATGGATCAATTTAATCTGTCATGCACAGGAACGACGTTTTTTTGTGATTTTGACGAGTTCGACAAAAATAATTGTAAAAATATCTTTTTTTCATCTCCGGTTAGAGCCGTCACAATCCATGCATTCGATTCGAGTCTGGATTTTACCAACAATGTAGAGATCTAATAAATCACCAGTCTTTTTATACGAAATGTGGTTAATAAATAACTGGAACATTATGATATAACTTCAACGAACAATTCTACAATTTAATTCCGTTCCTCTCTGACATAGCGTTCTTCTGTCTCTGTGAATGATCGTGTTTTCGTCTAGAGGCGATCGCAGCAACGTTGCACACTATTTTCCGACAATTTTAACGAAGAAACCTACGTCTCTTCGATATGCTGTCTTCTTATTCCTTGCGCATTGCTGTAGTATAGATTTCAATTGATCAAAGAAGCCACGTACGGTATCGTCTCTCGATTTTAACGAGAACGCATAGATTTCAATTCTTCTTCTCTTCGATCTTTCTGCATCCTCGCATCGTTGCATCATGATTCTTTGCTGATCAAAGCAATGCTGTGATCTTTTGCCAATTTTATCGAGAAAACCGACATCCGGAGTATCGTACATCATCTTTTATCGGTATCGTTATAATTAATTTAAAAAGATTTCGATAAAGGGAAGCCTTGTCCGACCTAGATGTTTTTTAACAAGTTTTTCAAAACTGTTATACACCCTAGCGATAGCTTCAAGAAATTCGAACAATGTACTTTATCGTACACGCTTAAGCAGCATTCGATGAAAATTCAAACTTTCTACTAGAAACAGCTGTTAAACGAAAAGCAATAGCTTTCCGAGAACGGGTGTCAATCTAACAACGGAACGCGTTCGTTGCTTCCACTCTACACGAACCTTAATTGCGTTCGCTGCAAACATTTGCATTTCAAGTGGCTTCTGCTTGCCTGCATAATGTTTGACACAGCTGCAGCGGGATGGTCCTGGCCTGGTTGAGAACGACCCCAAGTACCGGTGAGAGGCCACTTTGTACATCGTGTCCCGTATATATGACCCCATAACACACGGTGTTGCTTGTCGCGACGATTCATCGAACAGCGATGCACGAGTTTCGCGCGAATATGGCCTGAAAAATTTGACCGATTCATCGAGTGCTCTCGTTCCATTGTTTGAGTTTCTCGCTTTTTCATCGGAGCGCATCATCGACGGAACTAGGATTTTTTTTCTGTCCTTATGGACAATGTTCATTTAAATTAGATATCTGTCACAAAATAGGAAGGTTTCGAAATTTCAGAACGAAATAACTTTTGACGAGTTCCGGCGGTAAAGTACCATCAAAATTGCATCCTATCTTCTTAGCGGATTGTATCGAGGTATCTTTCGGGCTCCGCGAATAAACGAGAAATGAAACGAAACTGGAGCAACGTCCGAGAGACGCGATTAAAGTTTTCAACTTTGTTCACCGGTTATTATCAGTTCCTATACTTTGAGCGAAAGTTTGTCTGGCAATTCAAAGTATTTAGCCATTGTCAAACGTCGATGGCATTTTATAGTTTTCCACAAGAATGGAAACGAGAGTAAGTATCACCGCTTTCCGAAAAAAGAGAATTTATTCCAGGTCGTTCGTTGGGAAGGGTTTTATATACTGCGAGCTTTCACAAGCAATTTCCCGGGAGGGGTGAGCGAATAACTGCGTATATCCCGTAGGTGAGGGCTCTAACGTCGTTTTAACGACGCGCCGCGCCGATAGAACGATGCGGACGAACGACGAGAACGAAAAACAAGATTTTCGTTTGCTTCTTCGCTGACAAAAATAAACCCTACGTTACGCGTAGAAGAATCGGTGCGTTTATTCGCGCTGGTCAATTTTTACGCTTCGATTTCTTACCACTGGCGTAAGGAGATCAGGGTGAATCTGATTCTTTGAAAGTACTTTCGACTGTAGCGCTAGTTCTCACAGGCTTGAACGAATTCGTGAAAGCCGAAAATGCAGAGACCTACACTTGTTTTCTGAAAATGCGTACGTTGCCGGAAGTACTCGTAGGCAAACTAGAGTTTCGTTGTCGTGTTTAAGTAACAAAATGATTGCACCTTGCATCGTTAATACGAAAAATCAATGGCAAATAATTCTGACAGCAAGGAAATTTATTTAGATAGACTGGTAGAATGTTCTTTAACCTTTGTTACGACGAAGCCAAACTTCGTACGTGTTCAAGTTTCAAGAAGCGACACTTTAATATGACAGGTACGAGACACGAACATAAACTGAAGTGATGGAACTCGAAGGGAACAATAACTACGTCACGTTGAAATGCTTCTTGTACCAACTTGTTACTGTTTAATGATGTTTGAAACAAACGATCATGTACTCATGACGAGACAAACGATGCAGTATTTTATTCCCTCTCGTTCGCACGGATCGAGAAAGATACTTCCGCAACATTTTCGCGATACAAACAGTTGATCGTCGTTCGTTTATCGGTTGCGGCGTTATAGGGACAAAGAGCTGTAGCGTTTGTTGAAAGCAATGAAGCGTGCTCGGTTGATCCTCGCGTTCGCGTTGCAGCGATCAGTAGCTTAAAGCCATCCTCGAGTAAATGGACTAAGGCAAAGGTAACGCGCAGAACAGAAGAAGCAGACGAGAGAAAAGGAACAGAATCTCACTAGCCAGATCAGAATTCAGCGGCTCGTATAATTCTGCTGGAATCAGAATGTACTCGGTTGGAAAAAATCTACCTCCCTTTTACTCGAGCCTGGAAGCTTTTTGTATCCTTGACTAACTTAGTTCATCCTATTTCGACGAGTAATTTCTGCGTTTGTGACTCGAAGCGCCTTCAGCAATTGGAAAGACGCTCGTAAAACGAGCTCAATTTCCCTTCGAAAGTTAATTAGGCGAGAGAGCGACGACGTCACAAAAATCTTCCAAAGAAAATGAACAATTTAGTATTGACAATTTTTCATAACGCACGCAGATTTCTTTATATCGATCGTGCCATTCAATTAGTTAACCATTAAATTGGTTTACGTAGGTTATCCAAGTTATCGGTTAACGATTCCGTAATAAAATGATTCCAATTTTCAACTCGAGACGGCCAAAGCACCGTACGAGTCAGGAGCGAAAGATATAAGGTGGCTATTAAATTAGCGAGTAAAGCTCCCATGATAACTAGAACCTTATTCCCATCTTGCTCGTATCGATTGACCATTCGACAGATAGTAATTGAAGGTGGGTAAAGGAACAGCCTACATCGTTTCATCTGTTGCACGCGAAGGATTAATTTTAGGTGGCGACGAGAAGATCTTGTTTGCAATTTCTTGCCCCACGGGTATTAGTTCGACGAAATCTCTTGGTATGAAATTTCTCCCTAGCTTGATTCGCGTATATTCTCCGATATATATGCGCTTACATACATGACGAACGAGTGTCGTAACTCTGGCGAGTCGGAACTTTAGTTAGTTTCTTGCCTACAGACGATGCAACACTCGGCCAGATGATCAATGAGTGGAAAGCCAGGTTCGTGATTAATTGGACAGATCTTGGAATCATTAATTACCCTTGTTTTTACCTGGCCAGACACTGTCCCAGGTGTCGTTGAAAGAACTTAATACATCGTGTTGCTCGTACGCGACGGAATCGCCGGGAAGATATTTCTCGTCGAAAAATCATTTTTCTAGAGAGAAACGAAGGGTCAAACCTTTGGATCAAAATTTAATAAAGATCCCCCTGTTGCTTTCGAGCTCGATACCATGGGTTAACCCTTCGAGGCTTATTTCGTGAAACTTTCAGAATTAATCCGAGTTACCTCGGAAACGAGTCTGTTTCTGTTTAGGCAAACTTGAAACGCCATCTCCGGCGCGCTATCTGACCCTAAGGCTTTCTAGGATTTCCATAACAAGACTCTGTCTATCTCCGCTCCTGTTTTCTCTATCTCGTTCACCCGCAATGTTACGATCAGCGAGAAATTATGCTAGCCAGAAGCTTGCGCAAACTTTCCGGCAAACCGGTGAATCGAAATTAATTAGCGACGGAGACAACGATCGTTCGCGAGACGCTTTCACCGGTGACTGACTAGCCGGAATTTGTTCGCAAGCTTGCAACCTTCTCTCGAAGAGTTTCCCTATGAACTTGACAGAAATTTCCAAGCTATCTTGAACTTGGATCTCGGACGATTATGTTTGAAGATACGGCGTGTTATCAGAGAAGCATCCGCCTTTGTTGAAAGTTCGTTGAGATGGAAGTACTTGAGCTGTAATAGGAACTTAATTTTCAACTGATTACCCGTCCATCGCAGACTCTACAATACCGAATTCTTGAGGCTAAGATATTTCACTCGTTCGATTACTGCAAATATTTCTATACTATTACCTGCCACGAAAAGATTTCCTTCGTTCGAAGCTGAATATTTTCAGCAAAATACCGCTTTTCAACTAATTCCCTTTAAATTTAAACAAACGCCTGGTACAACAGCGTTTTGTAACAATGAATCCGCAGCAAGCCAGTACCGTGATTTCCAGATCAAAGAATAAAAGTTTGCCACTCACCTTGACCCACAATTCCTTTTTAAGTTTCCGCGGTTATTCAATCAGACCCTGGTCGTTCTGGACTTTCTTCTCTCGCCGTTAACAGTATTTTCTTCGCGGTTGCTCGCAACTTGTCTGAAAAATACGAAAACAAATATGTACTTTTCCGATGCTGTACAAGTATTCGAAAAAGGATTCAAGAATATCGAAGAAAGAGATCGCGCAACGAAGCGATGGGTAATTAACACTGTCCACGTCGCAAGGAACTTTTCAGTCGGTCCAAGTTACGACTAACGAACTAATAAGTCTATTAGTAGCGAGAAAACGAACGGAAACGCAGCGTGAAAGTCACCGAGGGAGCTAACTTGTATAATTGAATTTCATCGTGAGACCCGAGTGACGACCCGCTGCCGGTGAATATTTTACCGACGAGAAATTAATCGAGCAACATCCAATTTAGCTGGTAATTTAGGTACCGTTTTAAAAATGATACCATTCTCCTCTGATAAAAGAGTTACAATTTAAAATGTTTATCCAGCGCCGTTTTTCATCTATTTTATCCACGAAAAAGAGCAAGAAGAGGATAAGAAAGAAATTGAATAAAATGATCAAGTTACCCGAGACGTTGGGGAAAATTTTTATTACTCGAGTTTGAATCTCGACGATTTTTCGAGCGCTTTTTGTTGAAAGTGTAGGGAGACGCTATCGAGCTTGCACGAAATTCGCGATAGTAAGAAAGTTGCGTCGGGAATGGATTAAATTTTGTACAGATTCAATTACAGTCGCGAACGAATACAAATTTCTACAGGATCAAGAAGAGATAGAGAGAGAGAGACTGCTCCGAAGCTTTTCCGGATAAGAGATTACCGGAGAGAAATGTGTTCGGATTACTTTAAGACGCGCAGCCGTTAACTTTCGAGTTACCTTGGTCAACTCCAAACTCGCTCGCTAGTTTGAATGCAGCTTAAATTGTTGTAATACGTACAGAATAATATACCGATGCAGTAAACACGTGCATCATGAGCCAACTTCGTGTTTCCACGGGGATTAATCTAAAGATAAATACGTTGCGCGGGATTTTCGCGAAACGATGACAAAAGTAAACTTTAGTTTTAACAGTTGATAATGTTGACTATTTAATATAGATAGGATGTGCAGTGTTCTTGTTCTACCAAATCTTTTAAACGTTCAACAACGTTAAAGCGTTTGAAAGTTTTTAAAAAACTTTCCGGGGATCCAAAAACAATTTCTAAATTCCACTGGTCGGTTCGGGCTCGATTCTCGAGTGTTTCTTTTTCCTTCATAATCGAACTTGCACGCTTCTTCGCCGATCTCCGCTTCTTTCTTTTTCCTGCAAGTCGAAACTTCTCGGTTTCAATCCACAAGTTTCGAGATATTCCAATCAATTTCCCGAACGCGAAATTGCTAGGCGAACTTTCACTGCCTGCAAAGTTTTCGTGCGAGCTGCTACAGTGATCCTGGCAAAAGTTTCACACCGAAATTAAGCTCGTTTCGAATTACCAATTATATTCTGCTTCGACGTTGTGTGTTTACTCTTTCGGTTACTTCGACTTTCGATCGCTCGTTCAACGTTTCATGCAAAAATGATCCTATATTTTTTAGATTTGCACTTGAAACTTTGAACGAAACGTAATTCGCGGCAAAATTGTAAGTAGATCGCTCGGAAAGACTCGCGTGTCACGTCCACAGATATAATTATGGGATGCACTAAGCCGTGTAAATGATACCCATCTTCATCCGGTCTCCATGCACATTCTCCGTACTACAGTATTGTGTAATCATTCACCGGTACCTCGTGAAGATTAAATCTGGCCGTGCGCTTAAATTATGTTTGACCTGGCTAATTTAAACCGAGCATCGAATCGACTGGCGTCTACTATCTCTTAATTAATAAATCCTTGGTATCGTTCCAAAGTCTGTGTACCTGGCGATCCGTTAATTAACGTAAATGGAGATACCGCGAAAAACGTGTAATACGACCGAGATCAACGTAGTTTCGAACTGAAACTGTATTTTCCATCGAGCATGGTATCGTTGCGATTATCCTTTTCGTTATAGAAGTATCCGAGAGAAAACTTGGGCATGTTCGTGTTAAAAATATGAAAAATTTCGTCTCTCAAAAATGGGATGCAGCTATCGTTTAGTCTGTCTAACACGTTGTCATTGTACGCGGTTTGCACAGTGGTGCTCGTCAACGCTTTAGCGGGCATGTCATCCGCTCCGTCGAACAAGCGAGTTTTCTACGCTTCTCTGTTCGAGAAAATCGACGATCGTTCCTCGCGAGCAACGATCGAAAGCAGTTTCGTAAATGTTTTCGTTCGCGATCCTCCCGTTCAACGAGCACCAACGGAAGGAAGCTGTACAATAAAAGCAGCGCCTGCTCGACGACTACTAAACCTTTGACGATATTGAATCGAATAGCCACGGCAAAAAGGACCCGGGTCGTAAAACCATCGATAAGCTTCTCGACCTATACAATTCCTGATACGATACTGGAGCGAACAGCAGCTTTTGTTGCGTTACTACCAAGTCCCTGACTCGTCGCCCGTGAAACGGTACTAACTTTTAATAAGGCTTCGAGTGTAATTTGCCTTTTAAAGGATGGAACTACGGAATGACAAGAAAATTTAACGATCAGTTACGTTCGTTACTCCGAATTCTGCCTAATCTCGCGTTTTACGAATGCTGCTCGGCGAATTACTATTTTCCCTGCAGTGTATTGTTCTCTTCAACTTGTCGTTACTAACAAATTATTTCTGAATCACGTTTTTTTACTTTTACGCGATCTTGATCCAATACGAAGTTTGAAAAACTATTTCGGGTTCGATTGTTTAGCAGGAAGTGACTTTATCGATTAATATGGATACTAGAAACAAGATAAATTAGCCGCGGTCAGCGAAAGCAATCAACGTTGTCTACTGACAAACCTGAAGCGACTGATTGACGCGATTAGCACGATCCGCGTCATTTCTCTCTGTCATGACTATTATTCCCAAACTAATTCGATTCTCCTTGAGATTAATCTGGAAATTCGCGTAACTCCGATGAATCCTAATCACGGAAGCTTCCAACTACCGATTATTATTGTCTATCGGTATAATCAGTCCGAAGTTCCGACAACCGGAATGTAATTAACGACCGCCGTTAAATCACGACTGGTGTGAAGCGTGTCCGACAATGAATTCTACTTTCTCTCGTAATAATAACAGGTATTCGAAGCAAATATTAACTTCGATTAATTAATGCGAAAACTGCTTTCTTAAATTTCGTTAAAATTGCACGCTTAGTCTAACGGAAACGATTTCGTTCGCGATCACGAAACAGAAAAAAACGAAAGCAGCTAATCGATAAAGATTAATCGAGCGGAAGTTGCTCATGAGCGAAGACACAATCGACGTCGTTTCTGCCTGATCGACAAGAAAAAGTTGCCCGACGTTTGGAACTATGAAAGCTTCCGGGTGAGCGGCGGAAAGGGACACTTCAACCCCTGTCTTTCGACACTTCCGCCATATATGTCCAACAACTTTGCACTCGGTTTCGCACTCCTCCCATTTCGCGTGCCTCTTAAACTTTTTCTCCCGTTCAAAGCGTTCTCGTGTTCCTCTTCGATCGATCGAGCTATCTCCTGTCATCCACGGTTGCAATAAACATTCGTCAAAAAAGAAATTTCCCGCTCGTAAACAAAGGCGAATAAAAATGTTATGTTCTGGGTAAAATAATGAAAGAATCGTTCGTTCCGCGCAGGAGTAATAAGGCTCGTTGGAGATAGTTCATAATTCTTCTGTCTTGTTACATGACACGTAAAATTGAGTCTTTGCTCGATTAATTTCGTCGGAGTTAACATAAATGCATCGTTAATTGATTTTCCTAATGCACGTGACTAACAGCTAGATTATTCGGGGCTGATCGATCACGTATGTTGCTCATTTCTCGATGAACGCGAACACAAGTTTACCTAGTGCATTGTCGCAGAGCGAACAGCTCTTCCGATGTTCAAACGAATGCTGATTATACGTACCCGATCATGTTTACTTCGTTGAAAGTCCAATCGCTCGCAATTACCTCGATATTACATTATTCCTTTTGTCGTTCTTTTATTATCGACTTAAACACTTTCATCGCAACCACCGTTCGGGCATTTAAGTACTCGGTAAAATAACGATTAAAGATGGAAAAAAAGGGCTCTTAAAATTTTAACTATAGTCCGGGTAAATAATTTGCATCTTCCGCCGCGTCTCAACATTTGATAAGCGTTGGGAAAAAAGAAGAAGACTTCGTTCCGGTGTCCCGAACCAATATCGATACATGACGCAGAAGCAACTTAGACATAGATTGCATTTACACGATCGATCGTTCGATTTTCCGTGAAAAAAGACCGATCGAACGACAGAAAAGGAAGTTGGCGAGCGAACAACCGAGGAAAAAATTTATTCTCGCTAAATCGAGGGTCGTCCACGCTAAACGAGAGATCGAGTACACGAGCGATCAAATTACCAGCTGGCTGCCTGAAAAGCGGCAGAAATTTTTATCAAATTTAACGCTTTTAGAGAAAGAAGGATAGCCGAGGTAAAAAAGACCGAGAGGTTGAAAGGGTATGGGGAAACGTAAAATGATACCACGATAACAAGCTAAGCAAGCACGAAAGAATGTCTTGCCTTGGCAAGCTTTTATATGGAAATTTAACGTTTTACGTTCAAAGTGATCCTCGATTCGATTCGCGAACAGATTCTTAACGATTTAGGCTTCTGTATCGGTGACGCTTTTGTAAAATTAACCCGTTAAATAGAATTCGAGCAATTTCGAGACAAAATACCTAATGATTTTTAGCTGCACGACGAGCGTTTAATTGTTTCCGTTATGGGGATTTCATCGCAACAATAGAAATTGTCAAGAAGAAGAAGTTCCTCCGGTATTTCAACCGGACAAGCTCTACGCGAAAAAAGTCAAGAGACTCGAATAAATTTACGTTGCCATAATTAAGAAAGAAAAGGAGCTACATGGATCGAAGAACAGGAGGACGAAACGTGAAGTACAAAGAGTTACTTTGCGTTTCGTTTCTTTCGTTGCTTGCCGAGCAAGAATTAATTATAATTTGCCCGGCAGCATTTTCTAGC